TGATGACATGTACCAAATATGGGTGAAATCGGTTCACAACCACGCCTGAAATCTCGATTATCACTTTATCATGCGAGAGTATAAAATGTTCGGCGACACCCGAACTTTACCGTTCCTTACTTGTTTTTATTTAAAAAAGTGAGGAACCTCGAAATAGATCACCTCTTATTTTTATAATGTGTTTATTCTTTGTCCTAAAAATTCATAATTATTTTATTATTTTTATTCATATTAAAGTTAATAGTATTTATAAAGGTTTTATATAATATTTTGCTGGTGTTACAATCATAACCCCCCCAATTTGCAAAATTATTTTTGAACATTTGCCTTATTCTAGATACCACAAAGTATTTATTTGATGTGTTAGGGTCATAAAGATCGCGAGACACAAAGTTAACCAGTTAGTAAAACCCCGTTTAAATAGAATCTATAAAATAATATTGTACAACAAATGTCGGGCTTTTCGATGTATTCTGTAGGTGAAATATCTTTCAAATTTAAATCACTTGCGATATGAGACTGCACTCTTCAGCGGCCGTGCAGAATTTCATTATACTAAAGTGTTAAAAATTATTATTTCACTATTGTTAATAACATTAGACTTTGAAGTTTTGACCCATCATAAGACGGCCTTGAGCTTTGTTAAGTACATTCAGCTCTCGCTGATTTGAAATGATTTGATTTAAAAATGCAGTATTTAAAAAATTTATTAGATACAAATTCTAGCATGGATTACTAATTTATAGTGCTTTCTAGCCACGTGGCTTGATACAAACCACTTTTAACGAATTATGGGTTCTTAATCAGAAAAACTTTATTTGATGAAGACCTTTAACTTTATCTTTATCGGCCAGTTTTTAAGACAGCCAGATAGATAAGAACTTTTCCTTAGGAAAAAGGACGTGTACAAAATATAATACTGATATCTCAAAAACTGAGAGTCTAGCTTGCGTATAAAACGGCAGACAGATAGACGAACATTGACTCACTTTATCACGTTGATCACTTATCTATATACGAGGTGTGTTCAAAAAGTATCGCGAATTTTGTGTTTTTTCAAAAACTATTTATTTATTCATGAATATCTATTTTGTCCCCTTCAAAGTAATCTACAATAGATATTATACACTTGTGCCAACGGGTTTTCCAATCTTCGAAGCACTTAAAAAATCATTTTTTTTTTATCTTCTTCAGCTCCTCCTTCGATGCCATCTTTATCTCGTCAAGAGAAGCGTAACGTCGTCGTTCATGGGCCTCTTCGGTTTAGGGAATAAGAAAAAGTCACAGGGGCAAAGATCTGGGAATACGGTGGCTGCGGCATCATTAGTGTGTTATTTTTGGCCAAAAAGTCGCGCACAAGCAACGATGTGTGAGCAGGGGCGTTATCGTGGTGCAAAAGCCAATTTTTGTCACATCTTCTCGGCTTCTGAGAACATTTTGTACCACCGATAAACGTTGCTTCGGTCCAAAGTAGCTCTCCGTATGCCACAGTCAACATTCGGAATGCATCCGCGCACTTAATTTCGTTTTTCACACAAAATTTGATACWGGTGCTTTGATCCATTTTTTTGAATAGGTAAAAATTGACGACGATCCAAAACACGTGCAAGCAGAGCAGCTGTCAACAATTAAATGAACATTCAAAATGGCCGAGCTTGTCGGCATAATTGAGAGACATGAGTAACAATATAACGCCAAAAAAAAATTCGAAATACGTAACCCGCGAAAATCCAAAATTCGCGATACTTTTTGAACACACCGAGATAAAAACGGCATCGAAGAAATAGCTGAAGAAGATCAAAAAAAAAAAAAAWAATAATAATTTTTTGAAGTGCTTCGAAGATTGGAAAAACCGTTGGCGCAAGTGTATAATATCTCATGGGGATTACTTTGAAGGGATCAAAATAGTTATTCATGAATAAATGAATAATTTTTGAAAAAACACAAAATTCGCGATACTTTTTGAACACACCTCGTATGATGAAGATCACAACTACGGCTGTGAGGGTTCTCTAATAAAGGCCGCATAACATTTGAATTACAGTACGTTTATCTAGATTTGTTCCATGTACTGTACATATAATTTATGTACTCGTAATATACAGTTAACATTCTACACATTCAGTATTAAAAACTTTCTATATATTTTTAACAGACGTTTTAACAATAACAATATTACTTTTCTGGGAATATGTACAAGAAATAGGATGACAGAACTAAATTTCTTGACACTTGAGTAATAATTGACCATCTCGGCATAACTACACCATTCGTCAATGTAATTTAATCGACGATTGGTGTTTTCAAAAATTCATTTAATGTGATATTTCTTAAACTATTAAAAAACATGTTTATACTAATATATCAAGGTTTACTATTACCACTTAATATACCACTTAATGCTTCTGCCGGTTTCGGACTAAATGACTAACATACGGATTCAATTTACAGATAAAAATTATTGTGCTATATACTCTGAGTATATATTTATAAATATGTGCCATAGGTATCAAGATATATTTCCCGGATAACTATAAGATTTATATATGCAAATTGATTTATTTAAAAGCAAGTAAATCAAAAACAAAAACAAAAAAATAAAAGGATGTATGTATGTGTGTACTCAACCAATGTATGCATTGTATTTGTTTTGATTTCATTTAGTTCTACTTCCGTTAAATTTGTTACGTTCTCAGCGTCGCTATTCAAAAGTTTATAATATTCAAGTTCCACACTTTCAACTCATCTCTTCTTACATTTAGTTTTGCATATCGCACATACACACACACATTTATACCTCGAAACATAAATTACACGCAGTTTGTTTCGTTCGCGATGACTTTGTTGGTGGTGAAGGGAAAACTTAAACTAATGAAACAAATTTCCTATTCAGAACTTTTACCGTTCTCTACAGATGAATATATTCAATTCACTAATCACTAGCAATGGGAAAGAGCAACAAAAAACAAAACACAGAAAAGTGTGCGCGCACTAGTCCTGTTTTCCATTTCACTAAAACGTCAGCAATACAGCATCAACGGATTTCCCTACAGAGTTTCAGTTGGCTTTGCGTTGAGTGCGTTGACAGTTTTTGATTGAATTTGAAACTTGATCCGACCCATTTTCACATCAAAGATATGCCGTCGTCGAGTGGCGTACAAGATGTTCGACGATACAATGTGATACGGATACAATCACTGAGTACCATTCCGTGAGCGAGATTCTGGCACGCCAACATAGAGTTGCCGAGATATGGGTATTTACATATGTACATATACATATGTCCGTCGCTCGATCAGAAAATATAGTCGTTGAATTAAAGTGAGATATTATTTACAAATAATTTTTTGTTTAGATTAACTTTAACTCTTATTTTCAGTCTCGCTATTTTAGTTTTTTTTGCTATACCAATGCTAGGACTTTTGGGTCCAGTAATTTCGTAAAAAACAAAATATACTTGGGACCACTATGGAAAATAGCTGATATGTGAACTAACTGATCAAAATCATGTGCTTGTAAGCAAAAATTTTTCATTTGGCAAGATATTTTCGTGAAATTTGGCGCAGGTTATTGTCGAAGACACCGGTACGAACTCCGAACTATTGTTCAGATCACATCATTATGGCATATAGCTGCTATACAAGCTAACGGATCAAAATCAAGTCCCTGTATGAAACATTTTGTTTTTTATTTGAAAAGATATCTCCAGGAAATTTATGTACACATGGTAACCCTGACAGCCGCAAATGTTGCTTTAATAATCATTTCATTTGAAAACTGCTTCTCGAACTGACATAAATTTTCCACGGCATGTCTGTTTTAATAGAGAAGTGAAACAAAATAAATGAACATTTTATAATTAAATGAAAACAAGCTACATAAGATGA